CTACCCTGGTGAAATGTTATAAATTGTGATATTTTCTTTCTGGCATGTTCAAGAATCGTTAAGAGTTAATTCACCCGATTAATAATAATTAAACATAATTTTGTAAATAAACAAAGAAATTAAAGAAGTAGTTTAATCGATACTTTTTTACGTAATTCTTTTTACCTGAAATGGACGAACAAGGTAATGCTATGTATATTAAAAAATGTATAATGAACGTGCTGAGTAGAAATGAAAGGTTTTAAAATAAAACCCTCCAGAGCGCCACGCTAAACTAGTAATTTGATATTTCGAGCCAAGTGTGGCGATGTTACAAGTAAGGTAACCTAGTAATCTAAGGAAGACAGGCAGGCGATGTGTGGTGAGTACACAATAAATGTTTGCATGCCCATATCGGGGTGTCTGCTAGGGCGCGGCCTTCCGGTGCTGTGCCGGGAGGGTGGGGCGGTGAGGGGGGGGGGCGTGCTAACTATTGGTCGCGGGATGGCGCGGCCGATTAGCCCGCGGCGAGTTCACGGCCACCGCCGCAACCGCCACCGCCACCGCCACAGGCAGCGGAACCGTCGCGGCGGCGGTCGGCTGGCGGCGGTCGGCTCTCTGTCTCTTTCGGTTCCGGCCCATCCCTCTTCCCGCCTCGCCTCACCCTGCCCCGCCCATCAGCACTGCCGATCGAAGAGACAAGCGATGGCGGTGTTTGTAAAATCTGATGTTTTTTTTTCCAATATCGAAGTCTTGTGCTTGATGTTTTTACGTTTTGACATTTTTTGTCAATGAAAAAATATCGCAATCACAAATTCGTGAAAGTTGAAATATGAAATTATAACACAATTTATGCAACATGACGTAAGACCATTGTGCGACGAAAAGGGATATCTGAATGATAATTTGAGTTGTTGAGCGCTCAGCCTGAGTCTGAATTGTTAATTGTTATTATTTTTAAGTTTGTTTTGCCAGTTAAATCTCAATAATAATTAATGGACGCGAAGACTCAAATTAAATTATGCTCCTTGCGAATATTTAATATTGGAGGTTACTAAATCAGTTCTAAAATGTAGATGGATGGGGCGATGTATGATTAATAACGTGGTTTTAATTTTGAACATAATTGTTTACAAACATCTATGTTATATTGTCGACGTCGCATCTCCAGACGAAGGAACTGAATTTAATATCAGAGTTGTGTGTGTTGGCCACGTCTGTGTGCTTGTATTAACGATCATTTCGTATTTCCGGGCGTCCACTATGTCTATTAATCCTGTAAATGTAGTGCGTATTTGCATCGCGGGAGGTGGTAGTGATCTCCGCTGGATGGCGAAACCCGAATCCGATACATGTCGGCTAGCGGGGCTGTCCTCAGCCAGGTATTTCCCACCAGCGCGGAACAAGCAGTAGGCTCGCGAATGGCCTCCTGACACTTATGGCAGTGCATGTAGCTAGCGTCGAAAACGCTGCGACAGCTGGGACTCTAACCCTAGGACCCGCCGCTCAGAGCACTGCAGTGACGTCAGTTGATGCCCTGACTCACCTGAGACTCGTACGTATTATTACATACATTTACAATTTATATTCATTGCTTTGTTGCTCGTTAAATTCGGCATACGAGCCGTACCTTTGGGGCCAGGCGTTAGCCTTGTTCTAAGGCGGGCTCTCTCCTCCCTCGCGGATTGCTGCTGCCCATTCAGCCGTTCGGTCCCGATGTCGCAGTCGTGTCCTGTCCACCGCTCCGTCAGCCTTTTTTTTTTTTTGTCACGGTTCCAGGCGGCCGCGGCGACGAAGGAGGCGGCCGCCCGTGTATTTTGCCCAAAAGCGAAAAACCAACACGAGGAGACGTTGAAAAAGTAAATTACTGCGAGGTGACTGGCAAAGGCAGCTCGCCCTCCGTTGTGCTTCGTACTTCAACCGGCGGTTTTGCCGCGCACTGCGCATTGGCGTTTGCGCTATTCTCGTGTGCTTCGCTGGCGCTTTCCTGAACCCGAAGTTCATTTTCTCCAGACGTGCATCTGTGTTGCCTCTTCATATTGATTTCATGTTCCTTTCGCAGAGCTTCAAGCTATATTCCGAAATCAAACTCGTCTGCCAAACCTTTTTTGTTGGAGTCGTCCGTGTGTAAGGTGTAATGTGTAACGATCCACAAATAACGATAAAAAAATAGGGTACCTTTAGTGGAATATCCGGGCAGAGCAGCACTTGCAACGCAAATTTGGCGGGCGGGCGGGCGGGCCGGGCGCTAAAGACACAAGGGGGCTTCGCTTAAAACGGCACTGTAGTTTTCACGGATCATTGCAAATGGAGGGAGGGGGGGAGGTTGCCGGCGGGGCAGACGTCGGCACTAGAGCTTCGGTGGCTTCTTCCTTCCAGGGGGCGTTGGCGCTGTCAGGGACACGAAGCGATCGCCTGACTTGTTTTCCTTAACTCGTCAGGGCTCATGTGAGGGGAGGCGCAAACTGAAGGTAATACTGCCGTGATATAAAATTTCTAGTGAGATTTTTTGTTGCTTATAGATGGATCATCTTACGGAATAAATATAAAAAAATATTAAAGAAAAAAAACGATACAAGTAAAGAAGAAAATACATGTGTAGGTATTGATACAACTTAGTTTTACAAATTTTTAGTAGCTGAATAGTCTCTCCAATTTGTTTACTGTAGATTTCCTTTCGGTTATAGTATCGAAACCAATAGTAAACTTCAAGCTACCATTTTTTTTATTCATTTGGATCTAGTTAATTATAATTGCATATATGTTCCATTTGACCTATCTAGTCGCTATCTAGTCTAGACCTATCAGCGATATGTCGATATTTCGTATCCAGCTGCTTAAAAACAGACTAGTTAATATTTTTACACCATATTTTGTAAATATATTCATTTACGCATTTGCGTAATAAATATTGCATATTTTACTAATTTTCACTACATATTTATGGCATTAGTGCTGCAAAAGTTTTTTCGTGTGACAATAAAAAAAAATTCAGAAATAAAAAAAAAGACGGTTTTCAAATGATTTATTGTATTTGTATGAGCGAAGTTTTCGTGTGTTTGAATCCGGAATAATTTCTAGGATGCAGATATCCCTACCGTTTAGGCGCAACTGTGTCGGGAAATTTCTCCTCTCTCGCGTGGCAGTTGCAGCGATGGTCGGGGCACACGGAAGTCGACCTGAGCGCTGCGCCGTGCGTCCCCCTCCCTCGCCACCGCCACCGCCACCGCCGCCACCTCTGTCTGCGAGAGCCGTCCCACGGGCCCGCGCCAGCCCTCGCCGCCTCCGCCGCCGCCACCTTCGCGTCGAACCTGTTCCGTGCATCCTAATTACAGCCGCAATCGAGCTAGTTTTTGTTGAACGGCTCCACTGTTTAAATAATGCGACAGGATAGCGCTTGTTGCTTGTTTTTCCACGCAACATCTGCTGCGGAGGCCTCGGCGAAATCGTGTCGCATCCGAGAGTACTCGCCTCACTTGTCGACCGCTATGACCAGTTAATCTGCGCGTTCGATTAGCCGAAAGGCCAGAATAAGTTAACATATGGGACCATACCCTAGCGTCTGGTAGTATTTTAGTGGAATTTAGCGTATCGCGGTAGTTTTGAAGCCGAATTAAAGTATGTTATGGTTATTTCAATGAAAAATTTGAATTTATTTTGTATTTTTTAATAAGTAATAAGTCATTTAAAAAGTGCATACCATGAAATACTCGTCATTCGTCTAAACGAGCTGGATTCGTACCAACATTCCGCAGAAACGTTATGTGTGACGCGGATTGCATATGCACTGTGAAATTTTGTATTGAATAATTACAAAATTCCATTATTTATTTTTTTTTTCGCCTTAAATAAATTTTTCGCTTTATGTACCCCTAAGCGATTGCCTATCCAGCCCCGCCAGTTTACAGCGTTTGTTTTGTCGATGGCGCCTTATAAATTGTTTTGAACCGTTTAACTTGCCAAAGTAGAAATGAAGCAAATTGATTTAAAATTAACAAATTTGTCTTTGGGTCGGGGACTAATCTAATTATTATTTTATCTCTTGCGTCCCGCCAGCCTTAACTACTTGGGTGAAGCTAGAACTGCGTATGTAGGTATGTTAGAGGTCATATTGAATTGTTTGATATGTAATATCAAGATTATTAAAATGTGAAATACCTGAAAGCATCGAGTGGAGCGGTAAAAATTTAATTTTTTTAAGTGTTGGGTTCAAATGACAACATACTTACAAACGGTGTTTTGAATTTTCCTGTCCCTTTCACGATGGTGGGTGGCGACCGATGTCGTTTTCAAGATGTTTTTCTACATCGATCGTCTTCCTAGTTACATTCTATTCTGGTTACGGACTCGAGAAGAAGGATAACACCAATATGAAAGTGTGGTTGGACCATTCAACACAACATCCAGCTTAAACAGAATGGTTATCCTATGAAGCATTTTTTTCTAACTAAACGTAGAAAATTGTGCAAAATGTTTGTTGCTAAGTGTAATCTTCATTCGCGATTCGGAAATAAAATAAAATAAATTTTCATAACTTGTAGATAACGATGGACTGGAACGATTTTGCTTTTTTCGCCGAAGATGAACGAGCGAAACTTTTTTGCAAACTCATTCTCGAAGACATGGAACAAAACAAAGTGCAGAAGTTAATGGAATTTCTATGTGTGAAGCAAGGACTGGTGATGGATGCACACAATTATTCGTATATATCATTAAAGGTGTTCTTACGAAGTGCTTGTCTGACATGTAATAGTGGTTATTGCTCCTGTTAAATGGATTGGCGAAAGTATGTCAGCAGTGGTCATGTGGAAAAGGAAAGAAGCAAAACCCTAATGTAGAACATCAGCCAGTTGATGCACTCGTCGCAAGAAGTGTGAGTGTAGTGTAATGAAATCTTAAGACAACCTGTTGTGCCCAAATCGAACGCATGCATCCTTTTGTGTGTGTGTGTGTGTGTGTGTGTGTGTGTGTCGTGCATGCGCTGTGCGTGGACGGCTTGTGATGGCGTGGTTTTGTTCCAGGTTTTATCTCGTGTTCGCCGAACCCTTGCAAGAATGGCGGCGCCTGCGTGTCTTCGCCGCGCGGGGAGTCTTACTGCAAGTAAGTACCGTCGCGCATGGAGTGCGCATGCGCGTTGATTGGCTTTGTCGATGAAACAGTCGCTGTGGAACGATTGTTTTGCCGATAAATCAATCGCTGTTGAACGATTGTATCGTCGATGAAACAGTCGCCATGGAACGAGTGTAATGTCGATGAAATAGTCGCCATGGAACGATTGTAATGTCGATGAAATAGTCGCCGTGGAACGATTGTTTTGCTGAATGAAACAATCGCCTTGGAACGATGTACTCATGAGTGTTGCGAGCAAAAAAGGAAGTTCTACAAAATTTCTTGTGGACCGTGAATTCTAATTATTACATTGTGCTGGACATGTTTCATTTTGGGAAACTTATATTTGATTAGCTTTTGTTAATATAATGTTTGCACTTAGCTCTTCCACGGCGATTGATATTTTGAAGTTCACATAAAATGTCGTTTCTTGAATTACAGCTATTGAAAGTGTTCAGATTTCTTTTTGTCTTGATTGCCTTAAAGACCACTTACGCAGAAATAGAAATGTTTGTAAGATAATACTTCATTTGGATGCACTGTGCAAACTTAATACTATTCAAGACACATTCTTTAGGTTTGAATTTTTCAAGCTCGTTCTCGAATTGAGGAATAAAATAAAATTTATCGTCTAGTTTGTGCTCTGATTTTAGAAAATCGCAGGCTAATTTTTGAATTTATTATTTATATTTTAAGTTATAAACTATTTACAGTTTGTATATGTTCCAAAGACCAGGATTCACGAAACGCTAAAAATTAAGCTTTGCGCGGAGTTGTCCAAGTCGTTCTAACTTGCCAAGAATTCTATAATTTGTTTTGTTTAGTTGTGTACATTTTGTGTAGTTGATTTTTTGCATGAATTATAGTTTAATAAATTGTACTTCCTCCTGTGGGCCATTCTTTCTGGAGGTTCGCACGTGTTAATGAAAAAAATTGAAAAGCAAATTCAACGCAGAGCGCTGGGTCTTATCAAGTCTCCGCGCTTACAATTTCGTAACTGAATATTTTTTTTTATTTATTTAAATTAATTCATTCAGTTCGATAGTTTCGTCGATCGTTTCTGTCGTTGAATCCAGTTATTCTGATTTCTGGCGAGAACTGTATCCCCACGCTCATGTTAAACTCTTCCTTGGGAAATGTTTACTTCCTTTCGTTCGCACAGCGCGTCTTGCGGAGAAGAGAGTAATTAAAAAGCCCTGCCGGATCCAGAGCCGCGTTCTTCTATTTCCCTGTGGAGGTGTTGCGATGCAGCGAGACGGCGCTGGCAGCCCGAGGGGCCTGTCTATTGCTATCGCCCACGTCACCTGCGTCCGTCTCGCTGACCTTGCGCACCACAACCTCCGAACCGGCGCCACTCTCCTCTCGGCCCCGCCCGTCCCTCTCCGCCCCTCCCCCTGTCCCCCACCCATTCCACCGTGTCTCCCGCCTCCACCACCCTTTCGCCGAACCCCGAACTATACAGGGATTACTTAAAGAAGTGCCCGGTTTTGACAACCACTGCTTGCCCACTGCTGGCAACATACCTGCGGTTTATGTCCAAGCCAATGATTTCGTGTACAGTTATCACGTTTGCGAATGGCTTCATCACACTCTTGCAATGTCATTGCCCTGCATGACTTTTTGTTTCCTGACTTGTGAAAGTGGTACCATGTTAGAGTAACTCTTCTATACCTTGGTGCTGACCACCCTCATTCCCAAACGGCGTGTACCGTACTCGTAATGTGGAACATTTAACACATTTTAAAAATTTGAAATCGGTAACATCATGAGTACTCTATTCTAGATATACTTTTGCTTACGCCGTCAGCTACCTATGAGCCCCAAGACGGGAACATGTTAACGTGGTTGCGAAAATAACGATAAGTAGAACATGATGCGTAGAGTTTTTGCTACGTCATAGACTTTTGTAACTTTTATTTCGATTACGTCTAAGGAATCGTGAAATTTAGGTGTGTAGTTTAGTTAATGATACCCGAGAATCAAAATGTAGTGTTCAGTTGTTAAATTGTTTGTGATTGCATCTAGTAAATGTAACGTCGATACGGCATAGAATGGTTACAAATTTCGAGATAAATCAATCCAATGATAAATCTGTCTAGTAACCAAACCCCTAGTTGGGAACCCGTGGGACTGTGGTAAGATTCCTAAAAGCTGGATTAATTGCAGGGACGAAACGCAGTGGCCGTGTCCACGTGGGAACTCTTGATCGACCAATTAAGCGAAAAGTTCATTTCCTCGGCGGAGGTTGTGCAAGCGGCCGCTGGGGGCTCCGTCGGTCGCCCTCGGTGGCGACTGCGCGACTTTCACTGCCGTTATCCTCACATTCTGAGAAGGGGACACTTTTTGCCTGCGCCCCGAGAGTTGGGCTGGGGGGATAACCAGACACCTGGCGTAATTTAAGACGGCGAACTTAGACCCGATTGCTTTGGCTTTGGCGGTTTTTCCTGTTTTATTGAAGCGGCCTCTGCGTTTTGGAACCTGTTCGCGTTTAGAACAGTGGCGTGTGCTGGCGGCTCATTTGGGTGGACTGCCGGTCCAGATTTTTTTTTGGTCCTGAACTCCGGCTTGGACATTGATCGCTTTCGGTTTCCTGAGTTCAACGCTTGCGGTAGAAGCATCTTTGTTTGAGGCTAGGTGATAAATAAGTAAGTTGTTTATGTTAAGTCATTTGCAGATGAATTGTGTTACGTTAGATTGCTTTACTTTCCATTCCATAATACGGGGAAAAATGCATACATACATAACTACTCTTTTCAGAAATATTTTACCAAACAGATTTAAGATGACTAATACTCGTGAAATTAAAACCAATATTGTGTGATAAGTTAACAAACTCTCACGGACAACCAAAATAATTCGAAGCTGCACTTTTATTTTGAATTATGATTGTTGGGTGAAGAGAGATCCGAGTCAAGACGGAAGGAGAGCGGGCGGGTCGTTACGCTCCTTGACGCGAGGGGCGCTGACTTCCCACCTTCACCGCCTCCGTTGTCGGCGCTGGGAATACCCGCCCCCCTCCTCTCCGATCCGCCCTGCACTTCCCCAGCACCGCTCCGTCGCAGCTCCGCTTCGCCCCGCCCTGCACCGTCCCAGCTCCACTCCGCCGCAGCTCCGCTTCGCCCCC